TAATAGCCAACTGATTCAACTTAAGAGCCACCATTTGCTAATTATTGGACAAAATATTATGATTATCACAACCTTAAAGATGATGTAATAGAGATGAAGATTTTTAAGAATGACATGTTCTTTCTTGAATTTATGGCAGGATACAATGTATTTGATGTCACGACTTAGAAAGAGACTCTTGATATTTAGTAATATTATTGGAGGTAGGAACAATTCTTAATGGTATTACAAATGTTTTGTTTGAAAGAAGTTATGAAGGTTTCAACAATGATCATATGACAAGATAGTCTTCTCTCTTTAAAATAGAACATTATCGATGACTAAGAAGATCAAGATGCATAGCAAATATAATTCGCCTTATCTTAGACTTCTTCAATATGTTGTCACCTCCCCTTTTAGAACTCGTCCCAAAAAGAAGAAAGTATTGTCATAGATATATATCTATTTTAATTATTATCTAAATAATATAAATAGGTAGAAATAGATAAAAATAGATTAATTTCATAATACCTTCTAGAAAAGCTTCCAAAGAGCCTTTTAGATGTTATTTTGACTTTAGATAAGTTTAGAGTTGATTAATAGGTTAGAAACTTAGTCAACAAGCTAATTATGTGGTTTTTATATAAAAAACTCATCTTATAAGATAAAATACATGTCATGCAAAGTCAACACATTTTTAGAGGTCCTATAGAATGTCACCACATAGATCCTAGATAGATAATATATTTAGAGCTAAGAGTGAAGCCTTCTTCATTCTTGTTAATTCCTTTTTTGCTTCTAGTCTAATTTTGATAGTCTCTAATTTCATTGTCTTTTGGCAAAAGCCATTTTAGTTTTTTTTTTTAATATACATACTTTTCTATTTTTATTTTTTTATATTTCTTTGAAAGAATCTTACTTGTTTATTTGCTTTCATCCAATTCTTATCTTTAAAATTAAGTAACAAGCTCCATTGATAGCTAAAATATATAGTTACAACTTGACCTTCTTTTGTTTGGACAAGAATTTTTTTATTCAAAGTCAATGAATTTTTCTAACATAAAATTATTTCCTCATTGATATAAGATTTTTAAATCAATTATATCCTAAATATACCAAAGAATATACATATTTGTATAAAAATAGCCTTATTAAGATTTATACATTAATCAATTTATAATATTAACTAGAAAAGATATATTAGGCATAGTATTGATGAGATAGATAGGTCTCTTTACTTACAAAAAATACAAAATTGGATCTATCTCTATTGTATCAATGTTGAATGAAAAAATCAATCCTTTTAAATCAAAGTTATTTTAATTCAATAATTTTTTAGTCTATAATATGAAACTACTTGACTTGTATAATATTTTTGATACAATAGTATTTTTATTTTTGTATAAACAAGAATTTGATTCTTAGATAATATTTTAAAATTCTAAGATCCTTCATTTTGTACTTAAGCTTGAACTAAATTTTTTAAAAATGAATGAATCTATTATTATTACTTAAAAAAAGTAATTCATCTATAAGTAGCAAAATTATGACTAGTTGTTGTTTTTGTTGCCTCAAGTAATGATTTAGATCAAGTGAGTTTTTTTTACAGCCTATAGATTGCAAGAAAAATTTCACTTCTTCATTCTATGTTCTAGGACTTCTCTTGAGTCTATAGATTGACCTATTAAGCTTGCATATAAGATGAGAATATCATAATTTTAAAAATCTAGACAATTGTGCCATGTATATTGTTTCTTTGAATATTTTGTTGAAAAATGCAATTACTACGTCAATATGTAAAATTGACTATCTTAATAATGTTTCTTATGCTTTTAATCTTATTATTGACTATTTAACTATTGATAAAAATATTTCATCATATTCAAGTCGTTTTTATTGTATGCTTCTTTTAAATATGAATAATTCCTCAAATTTGATGGCATTTGTGTAAATTCATTCTTCGCTAAGAATCCTTCTAGCCAATAGAGTTTTTTTCTTTGATAGTAATTCAATTAGGTTTTAAGTACCACTATATTATTAAATATACATTTTTTCTTTTGTGGCAATAATATACTTAGAATCTTGAAGAACATCTTTATGTCATTAATTGAATTAGCTTGAGGAGCTAAATACAAATTTAATTCTTTAAAAAATAAATACGTTTTATATTCAATATATTTATACAAATTAAAGTTGATTTTGAAGGAAGTTGGTCAAGTCTTTAAGACATTCCTCAATTAAGTTCATCTTACTCATCTTAAATTGTTTATTAGTCATAATTCATTTGAATCCAATGATGGTTTGATTGAATTTGAAGCTTGTATAAATAAATCTAGAGCAAATGGTTTTGATTCTTGAATATTAAGAAATTAAAGACTTTGAGTAAATAAAAGATTAATAATTTAATAAAAAAAATGATTTTATCTTGATCAATCTTATATAAAAGTATCTTGATAAAATTAAGTATTTTCTATAGTCTATTTATTATCAAATAAAGAGGATATATCCAAAATACTTTTTTACTAAGCAATAAGCATAGTTTTGATTTCTTTATCTATACCTTTGATGTAGCAATCTTAAGTGGAATAATGAATTTTTAGCTAAAAAATAAACATAGATTTGATTTCTTTATGTATACCTTTGGTGTAGCAATCTTAAGTAGAATGATGATTTTTTTTGCAATAGGTGTAATTTTCACATACTTGGCCTCTCTTCAATGCTTTTGGCCTTTCATAACTAATACCTATTCCTTGGCTATGGTATCTTCTTTGCCAAGACTTACCATAGTCTAATTTAATACTTAATATTAAAAAAAAATCAAAGATTACTCCTTACTGTTAATAATATGTCTCCCCCAAAAGTCCTCAGCTTGGATCAGCTCTTTTAAATTTGTAAAAGAATCTTAGTTATCTCACCATAAACAAATCAAAATGCTAACCAAATTTTTTGGAGATTTTTTAGTATAATTTGTATCAATTCTCTATTAGATACTTCTTTTCATATACTATATAGGTCCATCATTTGATGCTCAATTTTCTTGAGATACTTTTTAATATAAGAACCTCTTGGCATCTTCATTTCAATATGAACAATTTTCAAATTAAATTTATTTTAAATGATAAAATATTCATGTTTCTTCTTAAGGATTGCCTATAGTTGGAGAAGATTAATACATAACCTTCTAATAAGAAGGATACATGGCTAATTAATTGTTTTAGTAAGAATAATAATTATCCGGTCCTTCATCTTTTAGAAGTTAGCAACTAAGGTGCTCATGATTATAAACATTGCTCTCAATTTATCAAAAGTGGTCTTTGAAGAAGTTGACTCTTATTAAGTGGCTGGTGTGATTACTATTACAAAAAGACATATTACATCCTATAAATCCTTCTGTCTAGAATTTGTTCTACTTAGAACAACCATACAATGTAATTCTAAAATTCTACCAACTTATTTCTTAAAAGGAAGGTTAGAGTTCGATTGTAATACCATAAAAGAATTCTTGACAACTAATCAATTGTCCCAAAAAAGAAAGAATAAAAAATAAAAAAAAAAAAAAGTGGCCCTTAAGAGTCACAAAGTGATGAAAGAAAGTTGTGGAAGAGACAAAGTAGTCTGGATGTTGTTTTGTTAACAGTTGAACAATTTCACTTGATTGGAGGTTTGGTAAAAATCCTAATCGTCTACTTCGACTGATGACCACACTTGCATGCAAATTCCTACATGATGAGACGGATTCCACGGTTTTCAGGGTCTAGAGGCGATCGTGACTGAAAACCAACCTTGAAGGACTTACTCGTGAATATTAGAATACAACCTTCGGACCGTAAACTCTGACCGTAACCACTGTATGTTATCGAAGAAGCATCACTCTCTGTCTTGTCAAGTTCAATCAATAGTCATTAATTAGCGGAGTCCTCAATCGTGTTCATCGCACACTACATTGCACTATATTGAACATGTGCAATCTGCAGAGTTGAAGTATTGGCGATGCACATTTACTATTCAACTGCAGTGTCTGTCACTGTAGCATGAAACTACTGAAGTCGACGGTTGTGAAACTTTCAGCACGATTTGCATTGTGTACTTTACTTTTTGAAACATTCATGAATCATAACAATGGAGAAGCTTAAGGAGTAGCAGTAATATTTTCTTTAGTGTCGTCAAAGCTACGGCTCAAGACAACCGTTAAGAATATTGCTTGCAATGTGAAGTCTATCCTGAGAATTTAGGCGTTCGTAACGAGTACGGTCCCCAACTTCAGGAAGAAAGTGTAGATTTATGTGAGGAAACATACTAGATCGTACTTCTTATTTCAATGAGGTGTCGCTGCAGCTATTTCGCCATGACTGACTAGAAATTTACTAAGAATTAATGTTAATTTGGCGGCATCCAATTCTAGATGGTTACTGCTTGAGGATATAACGGTAATAACACGACATTCAGTCCAGAGAGTAGCTGCCATTCAATGATCAGTACTAAAACCATTTGATTCGTGGTCATTTGATCGTTACATAAAACTAGATTTTGTAGCTGATCTAGCGCATCGGTTCAGTCATGTTTCAAATCAGCAACGTTCAGCCACAACTGTGTACTCAGTGAACTAACCTGAACAGACATGACTCCACGGATTAACTTGAAGGACAATATTAGTGAAACGTCAGAACTGTCCACTTGCGGCCGCGTCCTTTCCTCAAGGACTCCAGCTTCTGTTCGTATGTTAATCTATTGGTGGATTTGAAACAATACTTAAGAATCATCCAATGTTTTTCCTTGAGATGAACACAATCACTGTAAGGGCATCAAAGAATCGAGAAGGCTAGAAGTGTAAGTCGCTTCGATTCACCAATGAGCGAATCGACGTTTTGCTGCACCAAAAGGTTTAAATGCCGTTGTTCGCAAAGGAGAAAGCCACACTGTTTTAATAGAATTAAGAGATGATTGACAGTGTAAGACATTGAACACTTGAGAGAAGACACTTCCTGCACCAAGATTCTTGGCTGCTCTTTGTCATCTTCAATATGGCAGCCAGACAAGCGTTAGTACGAGACGCCATGTCGCATCTAAAGATGCGAAATGGCGCTAGCTTAGCACAGATCCGCAAACAACTTGTGTCCACTTATACAGGGAAAATTGACATCAAGAATAAAATGCTCACAACTGCTCTAAAAGGTCTAGTGGAGAAAGGACAAGTGGAAAAATATGGCGCAAACTTCAAACTAGCCTCGGCGGCAAAAGCCAATCCCGAAGACGAAGCGCAAGTGCCCTCTCGTCGTCACCATCGTCGTAAACATCGTGGAGGATCACGTCGTCGCCATCATCAACGCCGGCGCCACAAAAGCCGAAAGCGTCACCATAGCCGCAGGCAGAGACATCACAAGAAGAATCCTAAGAGACGACGAAAGTGATCTACAGAGAGTTAATCCATTCCACTAATTCTCTGTGGAAATTGTGCTCCAGCCGCAGGCGAACAAGGTGTACCGCAACACCTGGTGTTTTACAACACCATCTTGTTTACGTTGTTTATCAACTTGCAATTCTTGCAAAGCTTGCATACTCGTATTTTGCACTACAGCATTCTAGACAGTCATTCATTCTAGGCATGTTATCAAAGTATGTTTCTCAGTGTTCTTATCTTCTATGTTGTAATTTTAAAATATTTATGTTTTTGAAATGTTTTTTTAAATTTATTTTCACAGTTTTCTTTTGCCGTTTAATTAAACCTTTGAAGTTTTTGTGACTTTTGAATCGATGGTCCCTTTGTATATTACAACATAAATTAATTGCTGTGTTCTTGTATGCTAAACAAGGTGGCATTAGGAGAATAGGGATATAGGATAAAATTAAGACACGTAAACAAGATTAAAAGCCAAAATCAAAAAAATAAGTAATTAGAGAAAAATTTGTAAAATAAATATTTTTCAATAAATTAATAAAATAATATATTATCAGAATATATATAATAATGAATACAAAGTACACATGCTAAAGAAGGTAGAACAGTTTTGTGCAACAAAATATTTATATTAAAAAAATGCTTTGAAAGAACATTGTTATCAAATTGTTAATTAAAGTTCACAAATAATTTTTTCAGTTTAATTTAAAACACATGTACAAATAAGACGGAACTTGATAAATACTTGAGGATATTTTAACCAAATTCATGGTTTGAAATATTGATACAATTGTGAAAGATTTTTGTAAGAATTGTAGTTTTTATAGTGCAATTTTGAATGTTGGTCTTGTAAGTTTATTTGAATTTACTAGAAATTTTTAAAATTTGAATATATAAATACAAACATATTTAATGGTTTAATGTTAATTGTATTTTTATTCTATAAAGTGAAATAAAATAATATATTATAGATTTTTAGTTGGTGGGTTTGTGCCAACTTCTTCAAGCAAATAGAAACATCAAAAATATAATGAACTATTATATATTAAAAATATGGTTATATAGTCTATAAAAAAACCATAACAAAGGTAAATCAATTAGTTATTTTAAAAATATATTATTTATACTATATTCAATCAATATCAATTGTGAAGATTTTCAATGAAAGATTTTGTTTATTTTCAATGTAATGTCTTCAATTCTTGATATTTAAGCCATTTACATAATTTATTAAACTAAAGATGTATTTCTTAATAGTATATTTCTTCATAGAAACATAAATAATTACAAATGTTAAAAAGTATTAATTTTTAAAATTTTATATCAACTTTCTATCAACAATATTATTCATCTGAAATCAAAATTTCTTTTAAATAACTCTTTTTTCACTTTATTATGTGTATAGTATTTTACATATTGCAATAAAATTGTCAAATGATATAATATTACATGGTACATTGTATTAGACAAATTTTATTAATTGTAAAATTTTTATTTCTGCTTTAATATATTTTAAATTATGTTAATATATATATATATATATTATATATATTAAGATATGCTTGAATATATTTTTATATTATTATATATACTAAAAGTATAATAATAGCCAACAGATTTAACTTAAGAGTATAATAATAGTATAATAATATAACAAGATCTTTGATTATTTATATAAAATTATATTTTTAGATTTTTGTATTGTAAAGTAAAAAATACACTAATAATGATGATTTGCTTCTATTTTGCAATGATATGATATACATGTATCAATATATATAATTTATTTTATATTTGGTGGAAAAACCTTGTACTTTTTGTCTATATCCAAATGCCTTGTGGGCAAGCTTCTCTAAGTTACCTCAATAATTGCCCTTTTAAAGATGCCATTTGCTGCCTAATTGGACCAGCATTTTATATAGTATAATATCCATATTTATTTCTAATTTTATTTATTTTTATATTTGTTCTATGCTGTATGTCATGTTAGGAACTCTTCTTTACCTCATCTTTTATATTTATCTATATATACATATATATATATATATATATATATTTGAAAGAATGAGATTTCTCCTTTAAATTGTTGTTGTTATGTCTAATTAAGAAGTGTTGATGGTATTGTAATTCTTTGGGTTTTTCAATTGATTGATTGTATTGGTACTATATTAGAGTAGTGATTTTTTTGTTGTAGGCTGAACAAAACAACATGCCTCCCCCTTGCAAGTTCATCCACTCCTTCTTGATTATCATTCTGAGATTCCAATATACCTTACTATAACAGAATATTAAAATTAAAATAAAAATTCATTTTTAATTCTAATGCATGAAATAATATTAAAGAAAAATACAACTTAATTAAATTAGTTTTTCAATTAGAAAACTAATGATGCAATTTGCCTTCAAAACTTGGCGTATTTGTCATTGTTTTAATGATGCTGTGCCTTAAAAATAATGCATAGAGGCACAACAAACAATTGATGGTATTTGAATATCCATAATTAAGCCTAGGTCTCAAATATGTGATATTAATAATGCAATTGGAAATGAATTCTATGTGGATTGAATCTGATTTTGTAATTTGAAGGTGTTATTTTTGTGTGTTGTTGAGTATTGTTATAGGATTGTTCACAACATTGTGGATGCAACCTTGCCCACAGTTGCTTGCCTTGCCTCAAGATTGCTAAAATCATTGGTTATTTTAGAAATTACTTGATATATTTTTAGTTAATGGTGGTAATAGATAGAAGAACTAATAGAGACATTTATAAAGAAAGAACTTTGAATTGGTGTAGTGATCAATACTTCTATTATCTTTGTTTATTTATTTATTTATTTTATTTTTCTATCATAAGTTGCAAATAAAAAGACTATGGTGATGAATTAGTACAATTAATACTATTAGGTCTCTTAATTATGGATATTATTTTCTAATTAAGTAGGTATAATATATATAATTTGTAAGTTTAAATTTTAATTTAAGAAAGTTTATAGGAATTTAGGAAAATTTAATTTAACTTTAAAAAATATCCTATTTTAGATATTTCAAGTGATATAAACAAAAAAAAAAGAAAGAAATAAAAGTGATTAGAAGTTAATTTGATTAAATTTTTTAATAAATACTTATATTGTAGTAGGTTGATGGATATACAAGGTATAGTTTGGTTGGATGTTTTTGGAATTTAAGTTGGTTTTTATATTCAATCAAAAGAAGACATGCACATATAAAGAACTTTATATTATGGTGTTGAATTTTTATTATAAATGTTTTGGAGCATATTTGCATCTTGTCAAAAAATTATTTCAGCAACATATCTAAGTTTATAAAGTAGATTTTCTGAGGTAAAAATCATTACAAGTTCATATTAAAGTAGTAGGTTAAATTTAAGATATTAAAATATAATAAGAGATTAAGTATTAATTTTAGGATTAATTAGAATTGAAGATTTAGTCTTAGAATTATAGATTTAATATATAAGGTAGAAGATTATATGCTTTTTGGAGCAATGTAGATAAAAGAGTGTTTAATAAATATTCTTGAAATACAAAAAAATCTAATGTATAATTATTTTTAGGTAATAATAGGCTAAAATTGGAATACTTGTTAATAATTTATCATGGCTTATTATTTGGAATTAATGAAGTAATACATATACAAGTACATATTAATGGTTTAGAGATATTTAAATGGTTTTTTCATATCAAGATTTTCAAGCATCATAGAACAATATGATCATGAAAAAAAATTTACAAATTATCAAAATCGTAAGGTATTTTTGAAAATTCTTCAAATGGATCTCAAGTCTATGTTGGAGAATTTAAGATTTTGTTGAAGAAAAAAGACTTGTTAAAAAGAAAGAAATGTATAAATTTTTGCAAGAAAATTAAACATGTTATAGAGGTTTTTGATGATCTAATAACTTGCAACAATCATGAATTGGAGTTTGGACTCTCATTAATTCAGAAGTTTCTTATTTTAAATAAATCTTATTTTTTGGTAAAAAATTGTGAAAAATCAAATTGGTGTGAAAAATCTATCTTTCAATTGTACAACAAATATATTTTTAGGAAATTACTTTAGAATTTGAAATGTGGTTGTAATGTAGCAAGTAATATGATTTTAAAGTATTATTCTAAAAATATTGAGGACATAATATTTATTATTTTTTAGGATACAACATGTAATAAAGTGGAAGACGATGATAAATTTCTATATGATAAATTGATCCATGCAAATAAATAAGAAGATTTAAAATATTATAGATTAATAAAGCATCTACTATAAAAGTTCAAAGACTTGTGTTGAATAGAAGATAGAAAGTTTCATAATTTAAAACTATCATTAAATATGATAAGTCTTAAAATTATAAAATGCATAAGTGAAGGAGGTTTATAAATCAAAGTAAAGAAAAGTTTATAAATCAAAGTAGTTGAGACTTTTGTATGCAACTAAAAAGATGGACATTGGGTTTGATAATTTTTTTATCATAGAAGTGAGCATTCTAAAAAATTTAAGACATCTCAACTTAATAACATATATAATATTATTTTGATATATAATTTATTATATAAATAAAAATCTATTTAATCTTAATATTTAAGCTAAGAATAAATGAATAAATAAATCAATATTTAAAATAAAAAATATAATAATTAAAATTTGAGTCATTACAATTATTTTAACTAATATTTATTTTTTTATTAATGATATTAAGATAAAATTTAAAAATATATGATTTTATCTTTAAAAAATAATTTTCTTTATAATAATTTTGAATGGTTATTTATGATTAGATTCTTTGTACTTTCTTTCACATATTTTAATTTTTTTAAAAAATCTATTATAATTTTACTTAAAAAATTTATATATTACTATTTATATTACATAATTTCTATATAAGTTGCATAAAATATAAATATATAAATATTTGTTTTTATCAAGCAAATTAAAGTATCTACCAAAATTTATTAAGATAAATTATACAATCTTATTTACAAATCTATGGATTCTAT